TCTCCCATAGCAATGAGAACACATCCCTTGTTATATGTAAAATTTTTATTCAATTCAAGCTTGAAATTTTCTCAGGTGTTTTCAATTTTTGGTCCAGTACCATGTTTGCCTTTAAGCCTTTAATTAGTTTGGAATATTATTAGTCAAGTTTCAAGTAATAGTATATTGTTAAGATGTTGTAAACTTAAAACAGGTGACTATGATTTGTAGTTTTCGTTGTATTCATTAAACTCGGACATTAAATTTGTTCATCAAACAGTGATCGGAAGTTAAGATGAGAACGACTAGGTTGGATCGGCCTGAATTTCCCACCAAATTGATTAGGGATTCAAGTTGGATCGGGCAAATCTTTAATAGCTCGAAATCTCGGTTCAATAGTTATATACAGATTATGAGAGAATGAACAGTCTAATATAAAAAGTGAGTGTTTAGATCTCTTGAGAAGGAAGAGAGAAAAGGGATTCTCTGAAAGATATTTTCCCCTAAAAATGTATGGTCTAATTGTTTCTTTTTTAATACCCATGTGGAGACCTGTTTGGTTTCTTGTTTGGAGATAATTTGAAGTATCTTTTTATAATTTTGAGACCCTTCGATTATATTTACTTAATATTTTGACTATTATTTATTACCAAAGTAATTGTTTGCTGTTATACTCATCAACATGGTGTTCGAAAATCAATAGTAATAAATGATATATAAGATGACCATAGCTACAAAGTTGAAATGGTTGACACCCCAAAATAGACATTTGAGTTATATATATATATATATCTTAAATAAGTCAAGCTCAAATTTCAAAATGTGGAATAAGATATTGTTGTAAAGCAAATTGAAATATAATACGTATACGTGTACTAAAATTAGACTAACTTAGAAATTAAATTGATAGAATAGGATAATTTGTTATGTTTATTGACAAAGCCGTAAATGGTAAAAAATGAGTTCAACAAATTTGACGAAGAGAGATTCCTTAAAACGCAGACAATAACAAACGTTACGAAATTGATTGACTTCTTCATTTTTACCTCTACGGAAGAAAAAGAAATTACTTGTGCACGGGGTAAGCAAAAAGTCCTCCCAAACAACTCCTAAGATATTTTACCAAAATGGTCGACATGGTTTCATTAAAGTAAGTCATGTAATTTGTATTTTTGTGTCAAATTTATTAAACAATATATAACTCAAATGTTCAAAAGAGAAATTTTTTTAACATAATCTAAAGTTTTAAAGATAAGTTTGCCTCGTTTGAGATACACTACAAGTGATTCCAACATTTGATTAGGTCCACCATGTATGTGCATGAGTCTAATAATTTGTATTGTTGTGAAATGGAAAATTTTTGAAGGTATCCTAGTCTGGAATAGTGTTTGAGAGTGACAGAGAATAGGACATTACCAACCCAAGAAACAAACATCCCTCATCTTCTTAAAATAATAATAATAATTATAATTGCTATTATTATTATTATTATTATAATTAGAGTAGGAATATATCATTTTGCCTTTTTCTATTTTCTCCTCTGACAAAAAGTAATCTTAATGGGTATGGAATTTAGATGCCAACAAAAATTAATCACGCTGGACCACCAAAATATTTCACTACTTTTGCAGCTTGTATTTAGCTAAATTAGCTCTTGGGTCCACTTGTTAAAGCTTTCATGGTCATGTCCATACAGTACCTGGTGCATCCACCAACTGAATTTCTTCTCTTTTCTCAAAATTTGAATTCCTTCTATTTTTGTATGGCTGATGAAATCATTCTATCATGCTTACTGTTTAGTTATATTTGCATCTTCAGATAAAAATTACTTCGATTGGATTTCAATTATAAAATAACATTGATTCAAACTCTGCAACATGAAAAGAAAATGAGGCAAATCGTTATTTTATTTTATTCTTTTTTTCTGGGTAAAGATGAAGAAGCATAATCAACTAGGGTTTTTGGTAAAGAGCAGACATCTTTACCAATGTATTATTGCAAGTGTAGACTGTCTAATCTAAACATCTTCAAGTTGCAAGATATTAATGAAGAAAGATGCCTCGGAGACCATGTTTATCTGAAGAGACATCACAACCAACCATTCAAAGCAATTTAGAAAATTTCAGAACCCTGAAACAGTTCAAAAGTTGCATCAAAAAGCAAAAGAAAGCAAAAGCTAATAAAAAGCACAAGTAATAATTACAACCACCATCATCTATCCAACCATAACAAATGGAACATATACCCAACACCCAGTGTATGAATTGAAGGGAGGGGAGGGAAAAAGTAAGAAAGAAAATCTAGTACAATTGGAAATGAGAGAAAATGAAAGAAACAGTTGGCTCCTAAAGAAAATAAGATGACGCCCAGATCCAACATTCAACTAAAAACACAAGATTTTGACATGACAGTTAAAGGATAAAGACCCAAAAAGAAAAAAAGAGGACATGTTTCTACAACTCATTCAGCAATGTTATGGCCAGACTGACCAGTTTCCTCAAGAAGATGCATTATCTGCAACATTGACCTGATCAGGCTGCGATTCTTGATCTTCTTGGATGCTTGAATGACATAGCTCTTCTATGCGCCTTGTAACTTCGGAAATTGTAGGCCGATTGTCGGGGTACTGAGCTGCACAATCTATAGCAAGCTGCAAGAGTTGGACCATCTCATCTTCCACGTTTTGGTACCTGAGAAGCTCGAGATCAAATACCTCAGAGGTCCATTCTTCTCTCACTATAGACTGTACCCATCTGGGGAGGTCGACTCCTTCCTCATTAAGGAGGGCATGGGTTGGAGCCTTCCCTGTCAGCAATTCAAGGAGCAACACACCAAAGCTATAGACATCAGCCTTCTGGGATACTCTCCGAGGGTCTGTCACCTCGGGTGCTCGGTAACCAGCAACCCGGTTTGGCGTGGAGGATGAACCAACAAGGTGGGCTAACCCAAAATCGGATAGTCGAGCATCATATGATTTAGTGAGAAGGATGTTGGATGATTTGATGTTTCCATGTGAGACATTTGGACCTTGAGAGTGCAAGTATTCAATGCCTCGAGCAGCTCCAAGTGCAATGCCGGATCTCATTTGCCAGTTTAATGGAGTCCTACCAGCTCCTTTGTTTCCTGCGGCAGAAAATTGAGAGAGATAAGTAACTGCGGGAAATGGGAAATTAATCAAACAAGATGCTTCTTCCTCTACTCTTTTGCAAGCTCATTATGATTTGTCTGTGTCAAAAAATTATATGAACTAAAAGTGAAATACCTCATATTCCAAACCATATGTATACAGTTTGACAACAGAAGATGATCAGATGGCAGCAAGAACACAGATAAAAATGTCATGAGAACTAGATTTTCCAAGATCTTCTACAGTCTGGTACTGGGATCCAAGCACAAAAAATATACCAGAAATAACCAGGGCATAAACCCAATTCATCAAAGATATTTCAAGATGAACATGAAAAGAAGAAATTTTGCAAGTAATCCTCTTCCACTTCCACAGATAACGCAGAGTACAACCATAACCATCATTCAAAGAATTCATAAGATTCATCCTTAGAGAAGCTAAAAGCAAAGACAGAAGCAAAAAGCGAATTGAACAAATAATGAGAAATGCTTACCATGCAGAAGAGCAGACAAGCTTCCCATGGGCATGTAATCATAAACAAGCAGCTTCTCGTCCCTGCTATAGTAGTAGGCCCTGAGAGGCACCAAATTCTTATGATCCATAGCTCCCACAGCCTCGATCTTCTCTCTGAATTCCATCTCGGTAATTGTCACATCTCTCAACCTCTTCACAGCCACCACGGTGGTGGCGTCCAACACCGCCTTATACGCAGTTCCAAACGTTCCCTTCCCCAAAACCTCGGCAGAAGCCCTCAGCAAATCCTCCAAATCAAACACTCTGGTGGCGTTTCCAAAGAACACAAGCTTCTTAGCTCCTGTACCGTTCGCTTCTCCTCCTTTTCCATTCCCCACCATTGCAGCCGCCGCAGCAGCAGCCACGGAATACCCATTTCCGTACCCTCCATTCTCCACTTCCCCAACTGGTTTATCGCCAGGAATTTCTGCCTCCTGCTGCTTAATTGATGCAATGTCAATAGACCTTGACTTCTCGTTCCCCTTCTTCCTGCATAGAACCATCAAAATCATAACAATCAAAACGAAACCCACCACAGATCCAATCACGATCCCCGCAATTGCACCGCCGGACAATCTCTTCTTCTTTTTATGGTTATCCCCATTGTTCTCCGGACCCAGAGAGGTGGGTGAGCTAGCAACAGTCCCGTCTCCAGCACAAACATCAAGAGGTTTACCGCAAAGAGAATTGCCTTGAAACGAATTAGAGTCGAAATGCTGCAACTTACTCGGTATTGAGCCATTCAGCAAGTTGTTCGACACATTAAACTGGTCCAATGACAAATCCAGATCAGGGAGTGACCCAGAAAGCCGATTGTTCTCGAGATACAGAGTCTTCAACCTCGTCAAATTGTTAAACCCATCTGAGATCTCACCCGAGAAATTGTTACCAGCAAGATTTAGCCGAACCATGTCATGGAGGCCAAATAGGAAACTCGGAATCTCCCCAGAGAACCGGTTTCCCTGCAGGTACAGGTTTCGCAGATTGATGCAGCGTCCGAGATCTGACGGCAGTGGACCACTGAGGGAGTTCAACCTGAGACTAAGAGTACGAAGCTGAGTCAAATTACCCAAAATGCCGTCTGGGATTCGGCCGGAAAGCGAAACTCCGGGCAAGCGAAGCACCGTGACGCGATTTTGCTCACAAAGGACCCCGGGCCAAGAGCAAGGAGTGGGACGCGACACATTCCAGAGGAGAGTTCGGCCACCCACCGAGGAACGAAGAGAGAGAAGTGCTGCTCTGTCGGCGGAGAGATCCGGTTCGGAGTACGGAAGAGCTAGTATAGCAAGAAAAGCGAGAAAAACCACCAACTGGGTCTGCATTTCTGTAATTTGCACCGATTTCTTCTATTCAGTTCTTGTTTTGTTTTGTTTTTTTTTTCTCAGAAAGAGATGAGCAGAATGTGGAGGGCGCTTTGGGGGTTTAATGGGTCGGCATGGGTGGAGAAAGAGAATAGAGAGGGTAATGAAACTGCATTTTCTCTGTTTGTTTCTATTTCCGTGCAGGAAAATGGAGAAACAGAAGATTGAAAAGAGAGAGAGAGAGAGAGAGAGAGAGAGAGAGAGATGGCGAAGGAGAGACAGTGGTGGGGGGGGTATTAGAGAAAGAAGAGAGTGAATATAGTAAAGGAACCCTAGCTGTATACAGTAAATCACACTGGATAGTCAACTGCTTTCTTTTTTGCCTTTTGTTTTATTTTTCTTTTTTGGACTTAAATTATTATTTTGTCTCTTACTTTTTCTTTTATTTATTTATTTATTCCTCTTTTTACCTGTCAAAAAAGCTGCTGCAACTATGTTTTCTCCCCCCCTCTTTATTTTTGTAAAATTAGAAAAATTTAAATCAATTTATAAATAAAATTATGTAAATTAATTTATACTAATTGAATATTAAATCTCTGGAGCTTAATTATTAATCCCAAAAGGTGTAGTAATATCAGGAAACAAATCAATTAGACTCACCATGATGTTCTCCTTTTTTTTTCCTTCTCTCCTCCACTATGAAATTTACTTAATTAGTAACTAATTACATTATTATTCCATAACCTATACTTAATTACCTTAATATTTCGGTAGGAGGGTAATTAAGAGTAAATATAATAATAGGTTGGTTGGATTAGGTGGAGGATAAGTACAGTATTTGCCAGGACGTTGCAGGAAAATAACACAACGTTCTCATCAAAACTATATTATATATATTTAATATATGTTTGTATAAATTAGTTTTAATTTTACATATATTTGTAAATTTTAATTTCCTAATCTTTTCTGAATAAAAATTAAAGCTCAATAATACCTTAATTAATTAAACCAACAAGTTTCGACATTAAACACGGCAGACAATTTGGTAAATGGCATTAAATATAGTTTCCTATTTTGATTTTGGTCGTCCTCGGTTGGCAGTACAAAACAATTTGATTGGGTAATTATATGTTACTTGTCAGATTACAATTAATTATTATAAACTTTAATTTTATATACATACACATATATACATATATGCAGTGTGATGATATAATTTTTATGGTATGGTTTATGGGTATGATATTCGTAATGACCTCCCAAAATATCATGTAAAAATTTTGGATTATAATATTTGGTTTGTGGCTCGTTTATATACATAACATAGAAAATAATTGTGTATGAACTTTATGTCTTTTTCTTTACAAATTGACCGATCGCCGTGCTTATTGTCCTTGGTGTTCTATTGAATGAAAAATGTGATATAGATTTATATCACTTGTAGATATATATATATATATATATACACACGCGCACACACACACACATATATATACATATAACATGAACCCGAACGGTCCATCAAATAAAATTTAAAACTCAGTGCATTAGTAAGTACGTTTGGAGTGAAAATATCAATTATTTTTATATTAAAAAAAAAAGACAACATATTTTATATTTCAATAGAATTTTAAAAATTATAATATTAATATGAATAAATAATTAATAAAATACATATAATAATGACGTCAGTTATCTTTTACTTCAAAATTAATTTTAATAAGTAATTTGCTTATTTTATAACCGATATAAAATGAATTATTAGACAATAAAAAAGGTAATGAGGCGGGGAAGGGGGTAGTATGAAAATTGCGTGCACCCACCGACTGTGTATACGGCAGTTAGGAGGGGGATAATTTAACGTACCATTTAAAATTGTTTTTTTTTTTTTCTGTTCGTTGGGTAGACGGCGCGTGGGACCCACTCGTGGGTTCATCGCTCTCACTCACATGTGCAGGCATAGATATATTTTGGATATATTCATACCGTCTAGTTATTTAAGATTTCCACGTGGCAACAGTACTCTCTACCTTCAGCTGTGTGTATATATATATATATAGAGCCCACAGAGTGTAAAGATTTTTGATTGAGACGCTTCGTCGTCCATCCGTTTTCTTGGAGAAATTTAAGAGGAAGATTTTGGGGGTTTTTCTTTTTTAAAAAAAAAAATTCACCGATTGGTAAGAGTAATTTTAAGGGGGTTTATCTAAATTTTAATTAATTAAAGTAAATTAATTTTAATTAAAATGGTATTATTATAGTAATTACGTAATAAATGGGTTTAATTTTGTTACTTAATAAATATTTAATTTGAAAAATGAGTTTTAAATATATTTGAAATGGTTTGCATGTGAGGGTGGTGGTCCCCCTGTGCATGGATTTACAGGTCACAGAAATATGGTGGGGAGTCCTAATTGTTATTATTACTACAAGATTTTGTGTTGGTTGCACCAGCTTACATATCAATTTATTCTTCCAAGTTTTTTAACAATTAATCAATAATTAATACAAGCTTAATTTCGTAATTAGAGAAGAAAGTGTAAATTCTGCTAATTGACAGAATAAGGTGTTTGGTTGGAAAGTTAAAGAGTTGTTGCTTTTCCATTGTCGGCTGTTGATACATATATATATATATATATGTGTTATATTTACAGTTTTATTATGCTAAGTATATGCATCTGCGCCTAAAATTCATTATTGGGTAATTCAAAAATTGAATGAGATCATACCTGTTAACAGTTCTGATGATGTATGTTTTAAATGATGGTAAACCTATCTTATAATTATATACAATCTCTGTTAGTATTACGTGTAAGCAATTGCAATTGCAGTTGCAGTTGCATACGGTGTTTGGCGTGCTGGTTATATTTCAAGTAAGAAAATCAGTGTATAATCATTTTCCATTATATTAAAGGTGACTCGGAAGATTTCTACCACTTAACTCACCGAGTTCAGACTACGCTCTGAACAATCATTTTGTATATACGTGAAGAATATAATCGTGATTCCTATATATATTACACGTAAATCGTTCTGTATTCTTTGAAAGCTACCTAGTTTTTATATACAGAATAATAATTGATAAATTAATGAAACTAATATTCGATCTGGATTCTTGGGTGATTGGATCCTAATTCTATATATATATATATATATATATGATTTTCAGTATATAATTCATGCATCAGACTGTAACAACTCAAAAACCAATCTTCCCACGAAGGTTCTAATTAATTATTTATGGTGGGAGAAGAGGGTATTATGTATACATCTAAATATGTATATATATATATATATTAAAGAAAAATAAAAACAATGTGTATATTTACAAACATGCATGGGCTGCTATATTATATCGCGTGCTGTTTCTATAATAATGACACACCACTACTGAATAACTGGAAAAGAAAAAGAGGCAATAAAGTTTAATGGCTTCACAAAGTCCAAATTATGTTAGGGATACAGAATTGACTTGTGGGATTTTGCTGTAAATGGCTTATGGCTGATTCAGTAGAAGGAGATATATATATATATATATATATATATACACTTTAAACCTTACATCATTACAATGCTAAAAAAACATGCGGTAAAAACCAACAGATAAATGTTTTCTTAGTATGGGGAAAACTGTAAAGACAAACAGATAGGAACATCTGAGTTCCATTGTGACTGATACAAGCAGAGGTACATTGGAAATGAATTGAGTAAACCCTGTAAAATATGTTTGCTAATCATTCATCTAATCCCACAAAATTCCTTTTCTAATGTTTTTTCACTGTTCTAAGCGAACGAGGAGTTCGGTTTCTTTGTTTTAATGATGCGAGGTTATCAATCTTCTGTATCAAGGTAAGAATACAAGTTATAACGAAAACTGTAGAAATTGAAATGACGAATGAGGAATTTGGCTTGCTGCTACATCTCCATAATGATGATGCTGAGGTATCCATACTAACTGATGCAAATCCTTCTTGGGATTTCTTCTCCCTACAAAGTAGGAAGAGTTGCAATGGATTATACAAGATCCAGGACTCTGATAATTCAGTGACTTTCTTGTTCTCCAAGAGAAAAAAAGATCCGTTATAAACAAGGCATAAGGGAGTGCCATCCATGTACATAGGCATTATAAAAATTAGAAGTCAAAATATTGATTTTGAACCTAACTGAAAGGAAGAAGAAACTGTATTGATATATGTGTGTCTTATGTATACCTCAAGAAGTCTCCCATCTTCTTCCACAAAGATGAAACCCGTTTGAACCCTCGGGTGGAAGCATGGTCTTTTTGGTCTCTAATTCTATCATTATTGATGTCTCTATTAAGTGGCACTGTAATGGAATAATCACACAGATTATAGTAAGACACATTCAACTACAATCATTCTAGTCTCATTGTTTCTAAAAGAACAAACCGTTACCACTGTTGTTAGAAGAAACAGAAGGAGCTTTCCTAGACGCTTTAAGTGAAGCCAATTCCTCCACAAGTGCTCGTTCTGTATCACTGTCATTACAATCACAGTAAGTGCCCAGCCAAAAAAGTTCAGAAAAGACAGAACGAAAAACAAATATGATGATCAATTTACAGAAAATGCTTTCTAGATAACCATTATGGCTCATTTAGTTTCATACAATTCCTACCCTATTCCTTCACTTGATTACTAGATTGATCTTGAATGAAAATACGAGTCAGGAATCTGCCCCAAAAGAATTTGAGGTGCGAGTAGGGATAATTCAAACATAAAGTTATGATCCAGCTCTAAATTCCAAGATAATGAAGTAATCAAATGAAGGATAGGCTAGTAAATGAATGAAAATTGATCCAAACAGAATTTTAAAGAATTAGAAGTTGTAAATAAAAAGGTAATGAAAGGGTCCCATATTCAACTTGTCAACATTTTCATTTCACTTAATCCTTCAAAAACCACTAATTGACGTTGACTACATAATTTTCTCTCTCCAATTTGGCTGGTTCAAATGTCCAACATCCATGAGATACCCTCCAATTCTTGATGCATGTCATTTATTACCACCCTATTAATCATGTCTGTCTAAATTTTTATTTTACTAATGGACTAAACGATTCCAGCCATTAGCTAAAGACCAGATTAACAGTATTAAATATGATTGCAAATAAAACACTCTTAAGTTTTAGAAAAGTAATAAGAGCAAACCTGATATCTTTTGGGATCAGAACATTCACAATAAAATGATGATCACCTCGAACAGAAGGTCTATTTATGTCCGGAACTCCCATGCGAGACAATTTTATGGTATCTCCAGGTTGGATTCCTGAAGGAATTTGAAGATCTTTCATGCCTTCTACAGTTTCTACCTGTAGTTATCTTAAATTTCTTTGTCAAATGACTGCAACTTTAAGGGAAATGAAAAGAAACACAGAGAGGTTGATTTTCTTTTCTTTGGATGTTCAAAAGTAAGTAACTGAATGCATGCAAAATGTAACAATTCTGGCAAGGAAGAACATTATAAAGCAGGAAAAAAATCAGATTTGATGGCTGTGAAACATTTACTATGAAGATTGTCATAAAACATTGCAACATTACCTTCACTACTGTCCCTAATATTGCTTCAGTATAATTGACATTGACCTTTGAGTACAAATTGAGGCCATCCCTCTGAATTCCTTTCTTTTCATCTATATGGAGAACTATAAGAAGGTCTCCAGCCAGGCCCCTGCCAAAAAAAAAAGCAGAAGAGAGAAGAAAAGTGGTGCAATAAGCCCTTTTTAGTCCTACCTTACAATGTATAGGTTTTCCTTGCTATCAAGAAACATCCCAAATACAAAATATATAAATAAAAAAATGTGGTCCTTGATAATTTAAAATAAAACCTTCAGAAGGGGAAAAGAAACCCAAACTTCTTTTTCAGCTATTCGGATAGAAAAGAAGAATATATGCTTTATAATAGATTTGGGGTTTGCATCAACAAGATGATTTTTTCTTTGAAATAATTGCATCAACAAGATGATAAAGCACACAAATTGAAACACCGTAAAAGAAAATGGGGGAAAGAGATGTTGAATGCCAAATGTACATCATGCATATCTACGAATTTCTTGAATGCAGATGTTATAGTCTCTTCAAAATTAGCATTAGAGGATAAATAGCACCACATACTAACCAAACATCTTGCTTATAACTAGCAAAATGGGCTTTAACTTGGACTTTATCATTTTGTAAAATAAATAAAACTCCTTTAAGAGTCTCTAGAATGGGATTTACTAGAATGCTTTTACCGAATGAATATATCATGCATTGGTAGATGATTTTGCATTGTGATTATTGTTATATTTGCTTCTTATCTGATTTCCTATCTCATATTAATCTCATAACTGAGGTCATACACACAGATAGCACAAGCTCATTGATAATTTCCTATCTCATGTTAATCTCATAATTGAGTTCATGTGCATAGATAAGACAAACTCATTGATAAAATCTCAAACATTGACATTCAAAGCCCATTTTCGAAGATAAAACTCAATGAAAGAAGCTCCTCATTCTGTAAATACCTTTTCTTGTCAAAATTACCCTCTCCTTTAATCCGCATTGTGGCTCCATCACTAACACCTGGTGGGATCACCACTTTCATGCTTCGCTTTAGTCGCACTTGACCATTGCCACCACATCTTTGACAATGATCAGTGATTATTTTGCCATTACCACCACAACGAGAGCATGTAGACACCTAAATTTTACACAGTATCATCTATAGAGCACATGTTAAAGATAGGGAATAAGTTCTATATAACTGGAAGGGCATTGAAAAATTAACTTAGTGTTAACCATTCAAGCCATGCTTCAGATCATCACTTGGGCTAAGAAATAGGTACTCAAAGAAATAATCATATGCAAAAAGATACAATATCAAGTGAAGATGTATCATCATTGAGATCTGCTACTTGTTAATGCAGGTTCGCAAGTATGGTATTTTTGAGCCTGCAGCAGCTTTAAGTTATATGGGTGTATCCTTCTAAATTCGGGTTTTGCCAAAGGAAAAACCCAAATCTTGTACCAAAAAAAGTTTCCAAACAATGAAAATTCCACATGTGGCTCCGTGTATATAGGCAGACTGCCGAACCTTGTTAAACTCTGTGTTTTCTTCCTTCTCTCTTGACTTTTTACTTTAATCTGTCTGTATTGCATAAGTTATTTCACAACATCAATGACCTGCAGGAGAAATGTTCGGAATTTCTAGAGTTGATTTGATCCATAAAATGGAATATGCACATCAAACTGCAGGGACATACAAGGTAGAATGTATTTACTCGGTATCATACTTCCTACTGATAAGCACTCATACAAGTAAATAGTGCTCTGTTCTCAAAGAGGTGACGAAACCTGTATTGCTCAATCCTTATAAAACTAAAAAAGGTTTTGATGATATACTAAAATCACAAACTGATAGATTCTGGTTTTTTTACTCACATATCACAATATAGTCCAATGAAACAACCAACATAAACCCCGTGTTTACTCTCAGACCCTAATGTAAAATTTACCATCATCCAACAAAATTACCTGAAAACAAGACCAAGATGAAACCTTTCTTTTTCATTTTTTCTGCATTGGTTTCTTCTATATAGGTGGATGGCGCTCTTTTGAAAATTGATTTACTGATGATTATCAGGAAAGTTGAACTGCTTAAGACAGTTAATTACAGCAGATGTCTTCTCAAATCAAGAAGTTAAAAATCAAACCATTTAACATTTAAATTGGAGAGCTCCCTCTTGGAATATTTCCTCGTCCCTCTACCTGACTGAATGGCAGATTGCTGACCTAGATGCCTTTTTGTTTGTGTTATTTGCACATAAATCAACCAGATGCGTTAGACAAGCCACTCAAGTTGACTACAAACAATGGAGTAAGAATCATCTCCTCGCATTACTTTCTTAGCTTGGGAGGCTGCCTGGGATAGAATCCTCACATTTGACAATATAAGAAAGTGTTGTAGAATCATAAATAATGGCCGAGCATTGTGCCTTCGAGAGAACAAATCCCCTAATAATGTACTACTCTGTTGCCCTGAGCCTAGAAGATTTTATGAAGTTCTGTTCTTAGTCTCATCAATATGTCCTGAGAGGTTGGCGGTTTGGTGGCAAAAGGATTATAGGTCTGAGATGGCACTATTATCAATAGAGGAAAGAATAAACTCATCTCCTCACGTACATGGTTTTGAAGGAAAGGAACAACGGAGTTTATGAAGACACTCCTTTTCTTAGTATTAGAGATCAATGGTTCTAGACCTTGAGTTTTTTTCTATAGAGGTTGCTCCATCTTATTTGGAAGGACTTCTGAGACTTTGTTGATATTTTGTGTTCTTCTGAATAGTTTTGTTTATTTTCTATAAGGCCGATATCCCTTGGTGCCTTTTAATGCATATCCTCTTTTTTAACAAAGAACATTTAAATTAGAAAGCTAGTGCATCATCATCAAATGAAATTCTTGTAAGAAAGCATCATGGTACATGGGTATGCCACAATGATGCCCAGGTTGGCAACTGTAATGCAAATACGCTGTTGCACATGTCCCCTTCGGTCTTCAGAAATAGTGTCTGAACTCAGCTGGTAACTATCAGTAATTTCACTATCATAAGTTTGACACAGAGAATAAAAAACAAACTAAATTATACACCTTCAAAATCTGGAGTATATTAACATAGCACATTTCAACATGTTGCAATCTAGAAGCATCAAACATTCTGAGAAAAGAACAAATTTAACGTCCAATTGTCATGTAACATTATCCATATCGTTTTTGGTCAAATTACCTGTGACAACATTCCGAAGGGTGTTCTTTGAGTTTTCATGACACCTCCTCTACCCCCACAATCACTACATGATTTTATGCAACTACTAGATTTAGCACCAGTTCCACCACAATAATCACATGAATCAAAACACGGAACTTCAATTTCTTGCTGTCCTCCAAAGATTGATTCTTCAAAGTTCATAAAGAGCTCATACCTACAACATAAGATTGAAACCAAGAAAAAACATAAATCAAAAGGAAGGCAAAGCTCAATTCTAGAAAGCTATTGGAAATTACTGAACTGAGAAAACCATTTAATATAAGATTATGATTATAGACCTATGGTCAGTTCCTCATTCTCAAGACACTTCCTATTTTGTTTTAAGTGGAAGGGAAGAGTTTGAAGGTTGAGACATAATAACTTCTTCGCAACCATGGTACTCGTTATAGATTGGCTCAGGCAACATAGATGACAAACAAACTTATGGTTTGGAGAAGTCAATAACTAATGGAAATACAAGTCCATATTTACCTAGTGGTCAGTTCCTCATTCTCAAGACATTTCCTATTTTGTTTTAAGTGGAAGGGAAGAGTTTGAAGGTTGAGACATAATAACTTCTTCACAACCATGGTACTCATTATAGATTGGCTTAGGCAACATAGATTGTTATGTTGACGCAGGTTTGGAGGAAGACAATATCAGTGCTTGCTTTCTCATTATGATTTGTATAATATATAATACAATACATGATATGGATAACTACAAGTTAGGAGATAACATATACATGATAACTATAAGCTGTTATACGATAAGCATAAAAAAATGGTAGTTAGCAGAAGATAGATGTCTTTAACACCCCCCGGCAAGCCCATGCTTCGAAGATTGTAGACGAAGCTTATCTCGGATGAACAGGAAACAATCACGAAAGAGGGGCTTGGTGAAAATGTTAGCAAGTTGATATTTGGTGGTTAGAAAACAGACATGAATATTACCATTTTCTACTTGCTCTCGAACAAAGTGATAGTTGAGTTCAACATGTTTGGTGCGAGCATGAAGAACCAGATTAGCAAACATATAAATGACACCAATGTTATCGCACCATAAAGTAGCTTTGTTGGATGAAAGAAAACCAATTTCTCACATCAGCCCCTGTAACCATAGTAGCTCAGAAGTAGTTTTAGCTATAGCCTTGTATTTGCTCTCAGTAGAGGAACGAGCAATGGTGGGCTGTTTCTTTGCAACTTAGGAGACGAGATTCTTGCCAAGATAAATGGTATAGCCACATGTTGACCTTCAGTCATCCAGACACTCGACCCAATCACTGTCACTAAAAGTCAAATGTTGTATCATGAGATAGCAGAATACCAAGAGAGGCTGTGTGTTTTAGATAACGTAAAACACGTTTAACTACCTTCCAATGAGCCTCGATTGGGGCATGCATGAACTGACATAATCTATTGACTGAATAACTGATATCTAGTCTGGTGATGGTTGCATATTGTAATGCACCAACAACATGGCGATACATAGTTCCATCCGAGAGGGGGTCACCCATGGACTTAGACAAGATAGGAGAGCCAACCATTGGCGTTGGGTACGACCTAGCATCTTCGAGTCCTGTCCGGGAAAGCAAGTCATGAATATACTTTGTTTGAGTGAGTAACAAGCCATCTTTCTCATAATTGACTTCAATGCCCAAGAAATAGTGAAGCTTGTCAAGCTCTCGAACTGGAAATTCAGCCTTGAAGGACATAATAATGTTGCTAATGAGAGCTGAATTATTCCATGTGAGAATTAAGTCATCAACATACGCAAAAGGAACATTTGTCAGTGCCATGATGATAGATAAATAGTGAACTGTCAACCTTTGAAACATGAAAGCCAAGAGAAATCAAGAATTAGCGCAGGCGGGTGAACCAAGCTCGTGGAGCTTGCTTTAGACCATATAAGGATTTTTACAACCTGCAAACAAAAGATGGGTTAGCAGCAGATATAAAACCCGACGGCTGCTCCATGTAAATCTCATCCTTCAAGGCGCCGTGAAGAAAAGCGTTCAAAACGTCTAGCTGTTGAATGTCCCAATTGAAACCGGAAGCAATAGACAGAAGGACTCGAATGGTGGAGGCTTTGATAACAGGGCAAAAAGTTTCCTTGTAATCTTGTAATCAATACTGGGTTGTTGTGAGAACCCTTTCACGACAACCCTAGCTTTGTAGCGATCAACGCTCCTATATAATTTTCTTTCAATGTGAAAAACCCATTTATTGCCGATGACATGCGTGTGACTTGGGCGAGGAACCAACGTCCAGGTTTTGGTAGCTTGGAGTGCATCAAACTCAGTCTGCATAACATTATTCCATTCTTTACAGAGTGAGGCTTGTTTGTATGTGGTAGGCTCAACCTGAAAATAATTTGTTTTGGGTGAATGTTTAGCAAGATAGGCTACATGTTTACGGCTCATAGTAGATTGGAGTAAGGTCATACGATGACTATGTTTGGGGGAAGGAGAGGGATTGGTGCTTACATCAAATTGAGTAAGATCAACAGTTAGAGGTACGATTGGCAGAGAAGTAGATGAGGATGAGGTTGAAGAGTTGGATGCGGAAGTGGATTCAGGTTGATAAGGTATGGTTGAACTAGGAGTCTTATAAGGGGACAACAGAGGTGATGTTGAAGAGTTAAGAGACCCTGAAGAGCCTAAGTGTGTATCAACTGTTAACCAAGGAGAAGGAGCAATTGTTGCACCTGTAGAAGTTGATGAGAACACGACTGAAGAGGATTTAAAAGGAAAAATTTTTTCTTGAAATTTAACGTGTCTGCAAATATAAAACCTATCTGAAGAATGATCTAAATATCTAAAACTAAATGAGATGGAGAGTTACCTAAGTAAACACAAAGACTGGACTATAAGAGACTTGTGACGGTTGTATGGATGAAGCAGAGGGAATATGAGACACCGAAAATTTTGAAGTATGATAAGAATGATCAATACCAAATAGCTTCCTAGAGGGACAAAAATTCTTTAAAACAGGTGTGGGTAATGTGTTAATCAAAGAGACCGCGGAATCAAAGAGAAATTGCCAAAAATGAAGAGGTACATTTGAGTGACCAAGAAGAGTGAGACCCATGTCAACAATATGACAAATTTTCCTTTCAAACAAGTCGTTTTGTTCATGTGTATGGGAGCAAGCTAAACAATGAGTAATACCATGTGATTTACAAAATTGGTTAACTTTTTGATATTCACCATCAAAGCCAGATTGAAATGATTTAAACTTAGTGCGAAATTGGCGTTCAACATAAGCATTAAACTGAAGAAATTTGGAAAATAATTCACTTTTATTCTTAAGGAAATACACCCATGTATATTGGGTGAAATCATTAATAAATATGACAAAATAACGATGACCTTAACTTGACAAAGCTGGTGCAGAACTCCAAACATCTAAGTGAACTAACTCAAATGGCACTAGACTTTTATGATCAACAGAGTCTAAACTTAATCTAAACAATTTTCCTAAAGGATACGATTGACAAGGAATGGAAAAAGATAAGCTCGAACTTGACAGATTATGAGACTTGATAATAGAAGAAACCACACAGTGATGAGGATGTCTAAACCACGTGTGCCAATCATCAAAGCTTGAAATGGTGCTAACATTTGCTTGCTTCTTTGGTTGATGCAGTACATAGATTCCATCTTCACTGGGCCCTCGTAAGAGAATTCTCCTGGTCACTTGATCCTTAACAAGAAAGTGTGAGGGCCAAAACTCAAAGAAACAATAGTTATCAATTATAAATTTTTGAACAGAGAGCAAAGATTGTGTAATTTTTCGTACATGTAGGACATTATTTAATTGAAATTTATGAGGAAAAGAATTATAAGTTGTTTTGCCAAAATGAGTAATGTGCATACCTTGGCCATTGCCAACCCTTAGTCGATCACCATCAGTATAGTCATTGGCAATGCTGAGAGAGGTAAGATCCAGAGTTATATGGCGGGAAACTACTGTATTCGGATTCCATGGTAAGTATTGAGCACCTTGGTAGAAAGCTGGATTGTAATGGGGAGCAGTCATCCCCATTCTTGGATTAACATAGGTGAGATTCGCTTGTGTTGGAGCAGTTTGCCGTGGAGTGTACCTTTTGCAACAACGATCAACCGTATGGTTTCTATAACTACATATCTGACACGGTTATTTGCGTTTGGATTGAGAGAACTTGTTGTAATTGGAGGATGGCTGAGACTGTTTGGTATCAACAATGAAAGAGGGAGCTTTCTGAACAACATTAACGATAGGTGAGTCTTGAATGCTCTTTATCAGAATTTCATGGGCAAGAAAATGATCATGGAACTCATGAAACGGTATAGGTTCAGGCTTCATATTGAGTGCAGTAATGATTCCATGAAATTCTTGGCCAATATTGCGATAGATAATCGCATTGAACTCCGCAGCGAACAGTTGACGACCGGCAGAAGCAAGTTCATCAGCTAGGGTCTTGACCTTGTAGAGAAACTGGGAGATAGATAGGTCATTACACTTCAAGTCTTGAAGCTCTATATGCAGTTGGAGTTGTCTATTTTGAGATACGGAACCAAATGTATTTTCTAATGCACTCCAAACAGAAAAGAAGAGGGGATAGGAGCCAGGAAAGAAGCATTTGATCTCTCTTAAACCAAACGGAATACGTAGGGTTAGCAGTAGTAATGGATGGATCACCATTGATTACTGTTTCGAGTGGGGCTAGTTCACTACCATCAATAAGACCCATGAGATTTTGGTAGTTGAGAATAGGGATGAACTGAGCCTTCCATGCCAGGTAATTTCTGGTATTTAATTTGATGGCAAACGAATGATGAGTGGTGGTGGAGTTGATGGGTGAGGTAGTGGTGGTAGTGATGGAGAGTTGCTTATCATTCGAAGTTGATATTGAGTTTTTCCCTTGTAGCTCTCATACTATGTTATGTTTACACATGTTTGGAGGAAGAAAATATCATTGCTTGCTTTCTCATTATGATTTGTATATATATATACAATACATGATAAGGATAACTACAAGTTAGGAGATAAAATATACATGATAACTATAAGCTCTTATACGATAAGCATAAAAAAAATGCTAGTCAGCAGAAGATAGATGTCCTTAACATAGATGACAAACAAACTTATGGTTTGGAGAAGTCAATAACTAATGGAAATGCAAGTCCATAGTTACCTAATGTCAAGACCCTGGTTTCCATTATTTAGGAAATCAAAATTAATGCCTCCAGGTTCACCCATTCCTCTGAAGAGCCCATCTGAACCGCCAAAGAAGGCATTATATACTTCAAACGGATCAACCTAAGGATTGGGGAAAAATGATTATTCCATAAAAGAAGAACCAAAACCATGCATCTATCATGGTTGAAATCAAAAGTAAAAAATTAACCCAAGAAAAAAAAACTGAGCAGAGAAGTTTAACCAATTCTGTTTGCTGCAGAAAGCACTATGATTGACTAGGATCTTACCCCCTGTGAACCAAGTCCTGATCCATCTCCTTGTAAACCTGACTCACCAAAGCGATCATATAATGATCTTTTCTCATCATCTGATAGAACCTACACGAATGCTCCATCACCACATGAACATACAAAAACAAAAAAAGAACAACAAAAGAATACAGATGAAAGAATAATCTGTACGCTAACAATAAATATAAAGAACCAAAAAAGAAAAGTTGACACCAAAAATTATCAAGAAATAAAAACAAATGAACAAAAATGTTAAGCACGCACGTTATATAATTCTAAACATGATGAGAGAACGATTACCTCATAAGCAGCACTAATCTCTTTGAACTTCTCCTCTGCTCCAGGATTCCTGTTCATGTCCGGATGATACTGTTAAATCAATTAACACACAAATTTATTCTCTCATAATTCAATCGCATGTATTCCTGCAATAACAAACTTTAAACAACATGAATTCAGTAGCGGAAATACCTTGCGAGCAAGCTTTCTGTAAGAGCTCTTAATCTCCTGCAAAGTTGCATTTCTGCTAACATTCAAGGTCGAGTAGTAATCAGTTCCGACGGCCCTGATTACGCCACGCCGGTATTTCCTGCCCCCGGAAAACCAAGAATTAGGGTTCATAATCCCATTATTTTTCACGCGCAGAAAATTTGGATCTTTGAAACTTAAAACCAGGCCCCTGCTTCTAACAGTGAGAAATGAACTGGGACTGAAAGCAGATTTAGTAAAGTTGGGAAGCTTAGGTACTGGGTTTACATTTGCACACAGTAAACTGTGGGTTATGGGCATATTTTGCATATGCAGAGTTATGGGTTATCAGAGATGAGATGAGGAAGGAGATTGCCTACTTGTATTAACGAAGGGGTTTAAGCTTTGAGGGGTTTTATACTTTATTGTCAAGGCGTCGGAGACGAAAGGCGTGTGGTTTTTATATGGGGATAATACGTCATTATAAATATATAGTGAAGACTATGAAAACGGTGCGTTTTTACGGGGGCGCGGGTTATATATTGTTGAAGATCAAAGAGTCTTCTGCAACTTCCAGAGTCACTGTTCTTTGCAACCTATTAGAAACCCAAGAGAAAAGGTACCGTCTTTGGCATGATTTTCATGAGAATTGAATCACAGTGGTGAATTTTTTTTAACTCACTACTTTGCTGGGTCTTTGTTATCAATTTGTTTGATTTAATATCTACCGGATTTGGTATGTACCAACTATTGAAGTAATCACTGAATTTGTTTCACTTCCACTTATCCACTTGATTTACTTTCGAGGGTTTCACTTTTTTTAAGAAAAAAAAAAACCTTTCTCGCTTAATTCCAAACAGCCTCGAGTAAGCTTCACAAGAGCGTGTTATAACATAGTATATAAGGTGTTTGATAAATTGCCGAAGCGGGAAACTCTAGGAACCCTGTTAGCTGCTATGTATGAGTTTTTCTTTCTTTTTTGGTTTTCTATTACATGCGGGCTTTATGCCTTAATTTTCCGGAGCATGATTTATTTGATATATTGTTTAGATTGCGTAATATATTAAAGTCAGTAAGTGACTAATTGTTTATTATGGAGTCTTGAGATTCCAATCTTATTTTGATCTTACCATAACTTGCTTTATAAAATTCCAGTTCATTTGTATATGACTAGTTCTTGGCACCTAAGAACCTTTGATTGTAGTGAAGTGGCTGTTGTTAATTGGTGTAACCTTTGATTGACTTCAGTTTTGATCATTTGTCTCAGTGGAAGCCTTTTAAGTTTTCATGTTATATGGGAATGGATAATAAAGAAGGCAAATCAAGATCTGAATTGAAGCAGAGGATCTTCAAGATTTTTAAGGATTTTTTGACGAGGTAATCTGGAAATGATCCCCTTAACACCAGTTTGTGTTCATCTTTCCCAGACACACTCAGATATTTCAATAGATTATGAGATCAAAGTACTTCCAAGTTGCCATATTGATACTTGGGAGATTGCATATGCTTTGGAGAAAGAAACAAAATATAAGAAAACAATTGTAAGCATCAAAATTAATTTGAGGATATAAGAGTATAGATTGAACCATATGTTTACCATGGTTTTGCCCCTGTTAGTGTAAAAAAAAGATGAAATTTCATTCCTTTTCTTTTCTCCATTTAATTTCAAATCATCATTAATAATGTCTTCACAACTTCGAAAATTTTCCAATGTTTTTCCCTTGAGGATGTTCAAGAATGTTCAATACTGAAGTTCTAATAACCACTGAACTTCCTTTATGTTCTTTTATTGGTGTTCCTGTCCTTATAGGGTCACAAAGCTAGAGGAATTAGGCAGAGTTGGAAGCAGATTACTTCTCAACTTTCAGGAAGGACTTGGTAGGTGAATAGGACTTGATGTTTCTTGTTTGTTAGATATGGTTGAGTAGAACTCCCTGCAGTGCTCCTTAGTAACTTTGTTTCTAACTACATTTTCTTCATGCAGAATTTCTACGACGTCCTCCTATAAACAGGACATCCGAACTGATTGAGAAGATTCTTAAAGTTAATGAAACAGAAAGGCTCAGATCATATATTGAAGCAGGTGGTATCAACAGTCATGATGCTGTTAAGAGCATGGACAAGTGTAAGAGCAACAATTTCGCGAGCTTCCGAATTTGTTTTAGTTAACTAATATCTAGAGCATGCTAGCGTGGTAAATCTGCTTAATGTTTAATATCTTTTAACTGTAAACGTTCCTTCTCTTCTCAGATTTATGGCATCTAACTCATCTGGCTCATTTTCTTTGATTTTTATTAATTTTTTTTATATAATAACCGAGTTCTGCATGTTTAATTTTATTTAACCCTTTGTCTTCCACTTCATTCTTGTCAATATCTAGCCTTGTGCTTATCTTTATTCTTCTGTCTTGCATATAAATCTTTGGGTCTTACTTTGGTATCGACCAATATTTGCTGTAAATATACACATGGAAGTACATATATGCCTACATGGACTTCATGATCATGTAACTAAAGGTAACTCCACTTTGCAACTTACCCACCTCTCTTTTTCCCAATTCTACATCTATTGTACATTTTCAAGCTCGGATCATACATTTACTTTTGTGACTATCTTTTGAACTTTCTGCAACTTGTCTTTCTATCTCTTTTCTATTTAACCTGTAAACATATTATTGCCAGCCAAAATCATGCTCAGTGAACTTGAGTGCCTGCTAGAAGATGTGGAGTCCACAATGAGAACTGTTAATGAATGCCCTTCTCCAAGGGATAAAGAAATGAACAATGGATTGGAGAACCAAGTATCTATGGAAAAGGTTTGGTTTCTTAGTCCTCACATGTCCAAATATAACTTGTTTGTTTATTCCTATGCTTTTAGAAACATGACTTACAAATATGTTATATTTATGAATGTGAAGAATGTCTATTCGCTCTCGGCCTATAGCCCACAGATCCTTTTTAAAGTCATGCTACTGTAAAGCCGGAATATATGCTTCATAGTCATATGATAGACACATATAATAGTAAAAAAGCCTGGAAGAAGTAACATTTGCTCTTTTCAGACCCTCAGAGCAACTAATATAACATTTTTTGAGGAAATTAGGACTTAATAGCATTCCTATATTTTCTTGTAAAGATCCATACATGCATTTCGTTGCAACATCAAAAATTTTCCAGAAAGAACACAAAACAGATAGAATAGAATGATTTCTTCGATAAATACGGTGATATACCTGAAGGATCTGGCATTTTTCTTCTTATGTCAGGCAACCTGTCTGAACAATGAACAGGGAGTCTGAAATTTTTAAAGAACTTCTCGCTGGATCATATTTTTCTCTTATGTAAGTTTGTTTAGTTCTGATTAGGTGAATATCAATCTTTTCTTAATGTTGTTCATCCAAGATGTGGACCAATGATATTGGTGTTCGATGTAATAGTCATCAAGATTCGACCTTATACTGCTCAAACTTGTATCTAATAGGATGAAATGACTCTGTATGGCCCTGAAGAATCCGAAATCACAGAGTTTGGTATCCTGATGGGGATCATTTACAGCATGTTGAAGCAAGACTACCTGATGCAGGTAACAAGTTTCATACAAAGCAATTATATTTCTTGTGCTGAAACCAATATTACGATCTGTCTAATGCATTTTCTATTCAATTCTTCATCAACTATTAGGTTTAGTTAATCTTGTATTAGTCTAGATATGCATTATCAAAACCATCCCCGATTTATTTATTGACAGCAAGGATTCAACTCTCACCTTCAGAAATGGGAAGTGAATTCTCATTATTGAGAAAGCAAGATGAATGAGTGTCAAACACAACTTTATATCATTTGATTTTTGGTTTTATGGTGATAAATACTCGTATTTAGCCGGATTTAAATAGTAACGAACAAATACGATGGGTGCAGGAAAGGATTGTTAAAGCTTTAAACCTCACGTCATCATCAGGTGAATTAGAGAGCTACAACCTGATGTGGTCGTTGCGGCCGTTTGTCAAGGATGAAATCATGCATCAAGCTTGGAGATATATTCCTTGATCATCTTTGCTGGATTTTTTTCACATTTTCCTTCCAGTTCATCATTTGGGTTGCAATAGAATAGGGTTTTTTTTTTTTTTTTTTTACCCTTTTTCCCCCCTTTTCTGTGTTTTTTGGTCCTATTTATATATATTTTCAAGCTCTCCCAAACTTATGGGATCTAATTTAATAATAAATAAAGAAAGATGCATATTCTCTGTCATTAACAAAAATGTATAGGTTAGTGAACTATTTGAAATATATCAATATATGATTAATTTGTATGTATTCCGAACTTAAAAATCATATTACTACCAGTAACCATAAACAACATGTTCAGAGATTTTTTCAAAATAAATATTTGTGGGTGCTTCTAATTTTGGAGGTCGAATGATTGGCATAGGTTCCGATGAAGATAGTTTTTTTGTTTGCGTGATTTGATTAAATATGATTTTACACTCTAAATTAAATATAATTTTGTTTTGTGAATAAATAGGTTAATATTAATAATAGATTGATAAATATTTGAGTTGATTAATAAAATTAATTTTTTATTAAGTCATTAATTATAATATCTAAACCAAATTAGAAAGATTTTTACAGAAGTTAATAAAACAAGTAAGGAGTGAAACTTGATAAAATATGTAACGTTCCACAGCAGATTTCAAAATTCAAATTAGACGAGGCCAGAACACCCGACCGTTAAAAGACGTGGAACAATAGAAGGTAACAGCGCTGTGGTTCCTCTTAACATCACAACCATACGATTCGTCAACACTGAGAACCTAATATCGGAATATTAACAACGATTGGTCCTTGCCGGGAAATTGTCTTACAACCAGTCACTCTAGTATTTTACAGCCGCTAGGTACACTTTTCCCTCTTCTTTGTTTATTCGTTGTAAAACCAGCGGCAAGTCGCTAGCTTCTGGACTCGCTATTGAAAGAGCACAAAAATGGGTAGACTTACCGCACCACTCGACTACGAAAGTTTAAGGAAAGCTCGAATCTTAGAAAACCAGGTATTTTCCGTCGCTCCGATCTCGTTATTTTGTCTGTGAAGCTGTATTTAATTAGATGAAGAACTTGACACTTGTGTTTGATGGTGGAAATGAATGTATAGGAAAAATTGGCATCATTGGGGCTGCAGAAAACCATATTTGATCTTCGATCCGCTATCTCATCCGCGAAATCGGTGAAAACTCCAGTTAGAAAATGTCAGAAGAAAATATATGCCGTCATATCTTTGCGTCGGTCTGATAGACTGAAAGGAAACATTGTAGAATCAGCCCCCAGAGGCGCTTCTCTGCGGCGGTCTAGCCGGTTGGCAGCGGCCTCTTTGACTTCGCAAAAAGGCAACAATACCTGCCTGTGTAGTTTAGTTCCTTTTTGGCTTGGATCTCTGAGTGTTTTAAGGCCTCTAAATTCTGTATTTCCCTCGTGAATGTAGCAGAAGCAAAGGCGGGTGTCAATGAAGGAAGTTTCGCTGGTGCAAGTGAAGAGAAGAGGCCAGCAAATGCACCATTAGTGAAGATACATGGACGGGAGCATCAACTTTCTCCGGAGGCTTCTGCTCGGCGCTGCCATGGCAAGGGCAGGGGTAGTGTTTATGACCCTGTTTTCGGGATTTGCTGCCATTTCTGCAGGTTCTGTTAAAAACTTTTTCACCCCGATCATACTGTTTGCTATTTTTCCATGCTGATAGCTGCCAATTGTAATTATAGATTGATGGTTCTGGTAAATGTATCTCGGATGCATAGTGAATGATAAGAAGGAAAGCCTTCTGGGGATTTTCATTATTTTCCCAGTAATTTAGTTTATTTCCAATTTTTTTCTCCTCAGGGAGACAAATTTCCAAGTTTCTGATGAGACCCCGAAAGAAAACTTTTAGAGCTTGCAGCTTTGTTATTCTTGTGTAGACCATTTCAGATACCTAGCATGAATCACATTGTTATCCATCTTGATGGTGAGATATTTTAAGTCCTCTGAACTTCCACCTTTCTATTGTTGACGTTTCTGGAAAAGGCAACCAATGACAGGTAAAGAAATGGAAATGGAGATCATCATTCCAGAATGTATGAACTCAATCCTCATATGTTGATGGCATGCCTCTTGTGCTATAGGAACTTTGTGGGCAAAACCTCTCCATAGACATTCTATTCAATCTTGCATGCATTTGTTTTTCCGTATCTTTGTATTTCAAGAAGCACATGCCGCACCTTTGATTGTTCATGAGAATTGGGTGGCAGCTAACATCGTAAAAGCTTCTAAACTTTCCAGTTAATTTTTTCCTGCTTTGTCTAATTCACTCTCTCTGCTTGTAACCGAAGAGAACTTTTTCTAATTGCACTCACCAGTAACATTAGTTTCCCTGACTAGTCTAATGGTGAGAAAAGATATTGTAAGATAGTTTGCAATAATTCATTATAGTATATAATTAAAAAGAGCAATCTGCAAATATTGACCTGTTCTACCAGTTCCATAAACATTAATCTTCACATCGTATTTTCTATGTTCGAGCTTAAATACAAAGGTCTCCACTTGTACTGATTCTTACTATTTTATAAGTACTTATGACAGGTATTACTGGAACCTCTAACATCAAACTCAAAAATGCAGGCAAAAGACATTGTGTGGAGAAGAAGATTGTAAGAGATGTGGTGACCTCGATGAGAATCAGCCTTGTACAGGTTCAAGTTTTGACGAAGTTACTGTCTGTATTCTAATTGCAATTTGGCAGTTTTGATTCAACTCTTCTACAATATCTTGTAAGCAGGAAAGACGGATTGCTCAGTTTGCCATTCTAGCAATGGTGTGCTCTGCCGAGCTTGTCTCAAGGTCAGATATGGCGAAGGTAAGTTCTTCTAAAAGATTGAAGAAATACAAGGAAAGAAAATTATATTTGTGCTATAATGACGTAATATTTGGAGTAGCTATTAGATACAGAAAAACTGAAAACCTGATGGTTTTACATAAAATGATAAACCATACTGCAAAAAATTTGAAAAAAACAGAGAAGCACATGAAATATTAAATTTTACTTTCCCTAAAGAGGTGTTCAGATTTGTTACTGACGAGAAACTTTTGTTTGCTGAAATGAGACTGAAAGGTTGGAATCATTCTTAATGCTTTTCCAGAACTAGAGGAAGTGAGGGAGAACAAAGAATGGATGTGCCCTCATTGCATAGAAGAAAAAGGAACAAAACCTTACTGGATATGTAACAGGTACGTAAATCCAATTGATCTTGTTACCATTAGCTCTAGTAATATTAGTTGTTTCCCCCTCTGCCCTGTCTTCCTCAACAGTCGATGGGTTTCATCCTTCAAATGAAATATTAAGAGGTTTAATGCCCTCTCTGTGTATTGTGTCTTCTCTTTCCTTTCCATGGATAGTTCAATTTGCTTAAAGAAGCGAAAGATGGTTCCAACTGGCCTAGCAATATACAGAGGTAATCCACCATTTCCAATGAATTTAGTTCCCATATTGCTTCCAATAAAATTACTGAAAATCTATTACATTTTGTGATGAAATTAAAGCCCGGGAGCTGGGATATAAATCAGTAGCACATCTACTAATGGATGACCTTCAAAAAGCAAACAAGCAGAGAAGATAAAGATGTGAGATCCTGTCTCCTTGACTGATCAACAGATGAACCATCAAGAACTTTAACTCCAGAACTCAACTTTTGATATCTACTAATGGATGAGCTTCGAAAAGCAAACAAGCAGAGAGACAAAGATGCAGGATCAAGATGCTAAACTTTTGCATTGCCGTTGATTGAGAAATGTTGAAACTGAAGCAGCTGATTTGAACTTATTGTACTTGCATCTTATTGGTAAATATTGTATAAATTTTATAACTAGTCTCCACCCTTTCAACCAACCTGGTTTCTTGGATGATTCATGCAAGGATTTGTTTAGTTCCATCTGCTTCTCTGACTCAAGTACATTAGGGCTGGAAAATACCAGGAAGTTCGGTCCAATTCCAAGCAATTGATGGAAAAGGTGAAGAAGTTTCATAATCTAAGCATGACATGAAAAGATAAAAAAAATCAATGGAATTGAATGAATGGATCAAAATTTGTACATAACAGCCCCTCAGACCAGTTGGCCTGGCAAGTGGATGTGTTCTCCCTACATTGCCAGCCCATTCTACATCCCCAACTTGCCTGGTACATAAGCGAGTAGCTTGTCATGCACCGGGTTTTACCCGGTTTTCCTTATCACAAAGAGAACTTTTTACATATCAAAAAAAAAAAAAAAAACTTTGTACATCTAGAAATCTGCTTTCTCAGAACTACTAATAGTATTTTTAGTATCAAGCCTTGTCCAGAAGCTCCAAATCAAACATAGCGAAAGTGAATTCGATAACTTCGAAACCATCATCCCCTTCTAGTTTCTTGATTGTGCTCCTCTATTACATCTTCGTCCCTGCTCTTGCAGCAAGTTTTCCGATTTGGCACTCGATCACGACAAGGCAAGGATCATTAACACACGGGTGTTCATGATCTGTTTTGTGTTGCCTCCTCTGTCTGGTTGGTTTAGGATAGGTTCTTTCTATGAACAAATTCATCCAAAGCATCTCTCATCCACCAATTCTTGCATGATTCTCTCGCTTCCTTGACAGTCATCCATCTCCGATTCCGGATACTTTTCTCTGGCCAAATATCCAACTGCTTCTTAACAAGCAAAGGAAACATGTAGGCGTCATGAATTATGCCCTGGCTTTTGCTCTTGTATCTCCATTTCCCCAGTTTCCTTTCTATATCACCAATCACACCAGCTTCCTCAATTGTCTCCCTCAAAGCTGCCTGTTCCATGGATTCATCAAGTTCCCAACCACCCTGAAGTTGCAAAACACAACATTAGTACACAAACAACCAGAAAGGACAACGCAGAAACTTAACAACAACAAACATAAAACAAGCAATCGTTGCCGTTTATTACCTTTGGAAACAACATTGCTTGACCCTTTTGTGCACTGATCATAAGAACTTCCAGTTCTTCAATAAGGGTTCCATCAAAAGATGATTGCTTTTTCTTATATCTGTAAGGAATGCATCTGCAAAATTTGAAAAGCCAACAAATAAGAAACATGAACACCCAAGAAATCTAAAGATAAATTTGTCATCAGAACATGAGAAAAATCGAAAGGCTAAATGGGGTATTAATCAAAAAGTTGCATGGAAAAAGACGTGATTTCACAAAAATCATTCAGAAAAACTACCCTAACAAAGAAGAAAAAACAGTAATTTTTTCATCGGTTAGCACAGAATTTCCAAACCCAGATAAGAAAAAAAGAAAAAAAAAAAAAAGGAAGATTTAAGAAAAGGAAAACGAAAAACTGTTCCAGATATTTGTCCTCAAAAGGAAAAAAAAAGAAATCAACGCGGAAACAGAAGAGGCATAAAATCAAAAAGATGATGAGCAAAACAATCACGTACCCAACAACGAGTCGCGAGCCCTTCTCGTACCGCTGCAATTCACGGCCAGTTCGAGAAACCAAAGTGACCATGTTCTCAATTTGCAAGGACATGAATTTCACGGGGATCCTCTCGAAGAAAGGGAAAAGATAGTAAAGCAGATTAGCGAAATTCGCAAGACAGAAAGATAATCCTCTCATTGTGGCAGTTCCAAACTTGATCCTCAAATCCAAGAAACCCAACTCGGAAATCCCAGAAGATAGAGAGATACACAGGAAATCAGCCGCGCACGTTCAAATCTGGATATGGGTAAAGGCTAAAATTGGATTTGTTGCTGCAAAACATAAAAAACGAAGAGGCTTTATAAGGATCGTTGGGTGTTGTAGCCAGAGAATTAACAATGGCGAAAGGCTGTGGATAAGAAATACGCACTTGTGTGCTCCCTTTAAATAGAGAAAAAGAAAGAGTCTTTATGATTTCTCCGTGTAGGAGAGAGAGCGAGAGAGAGTCTGATTACACGCAAAACCGACGCGCACATGTGGCGCTTCGCCGTCCTTTTACCCGTTTAATAACCACGTTCAAACAAAAACGTTGACTAACGATTTCATTTGCCGTTACAGTGCCCATAACTGTCAAGTTAAAAACTCTTTTTTTTTTTTTTTTTCAAGGGGTTAATACATTTACTTGTACAAAATCATCAAATTTATAGGATCCAAAATTAAATTAAATATATTTAAACATGACCCACTAAATAAATTGTTTAATCAACTTTTTTATTTCTGCAAATTAAAATAAAAATTAAATACTTTTGTGACAGTAACTCAAAATTTGTACATTAATTTTAGAAAAAAAAAAAAAAATATGGAAGACCGAATCAAAATGTTCCAGCCCAAATAGCAATTGGAGATAACAATGGGTGGTGCAATTTGCTTTGCATGGTACCTACCAAATTCCCTCAAGTCAAAAAAAACTACTTTTTCTCCTCCTATCACAACTTGTTTTAGTATATCTTAGACTATTATATATATATATATATATATATATATTATAAACGGTAACATGGTATATTAATATGAACGTTGTTATTCGACCAATATATAATTACACTTCTTAACAATAATTAATTATTATAATATCTTCGATTTGATTAATGATTGATGTGGAGTGTAAATGCATATGGTTTCTAGAAATTTTTGTGTGTGCAAAAAAAAAAATGATTTGGTTTATTTCTGTTAATATTCAAAGGAGAGAGGGAAGTGCTTTTGGTGTATTCATGTTTTTTTTTTAAAAAAAAAAATCATCCGTACAACAACATAAGCCGTTGATTCTTTCTCCTGCATGATACAAACCCATCATGCGTTTTATCACCTTCTTCTTCTTTTTTTTTTTTTTGTTATATAAAAAAAAACCAATAATTTATTACGAATAAATCTTAACTTATTTATTATAATTCTATAAAAAAATACTAATAAATAAAATTTAAATTTATATTAAATCATTAAAATTGTTTAATAACGCGGGTATCAATTAATATTAACATTAATTATATAATTTTTATTTTTTTCACATTTAAATTAACAAAATATTTTCAAATTTTAATTATGTAAAAATTCAGAAGGTAGATGAATTCATGGGTTCTTATTATTTATAAAGTCTAAAGTAATCAAACGTATACATATAAAAATTATTGTATATATATATATATATGTATATGGGAGAATAAATTCCATAATTATTTTTAGAATTTGTTCTCCCACATCAACTAATTGGAATATTCTCCCTTTTCCTGTTTGAGTATGGAATTTCAATTAAAATTTTATCAAAACGCCAGAGCTGGGGAATAACGCGCGTGGACAGAAAAAGGCAAGGGAGGGAAGAGGGGGCAGATGCTTGGGGAGCGTGGAAGGAAGGTGGGGGACGACGCGTGAGAGAGTTGGTGAGAGAGCACTCGGTTCTGTTTTTACCAGCAAACAGCGGCAATCTCACACGGTATTAGGCGTACGTAAAATAATTATTAATTTTCGTAATATATTTATATTTATTACCATTTAATTATTATTTATTTATTTATTTAAAAAAAAATTGCATGCAACCTTAATTAAAATCAATTTTATTTTTTAAATATTATAAATTAATTTTATAATTTGCGGCATTTCCCAAGTAGACGTCACTATCAACAGTCCCCATCATCACCGCAAGCAGCAAGTGCTTTTGGGTTTGGACGTAAGACGGGCACAAAAGTCTAACAAAGCTGCTTTCCAAGTCTTCTATTTTTGTCTTTTTATTTATTTACTTATATTTTTCTCCCCCCCCCCCCACACACACACAAAATTTAATATGTCTAAATTCTAATTAGGTGGGTTTTTTTTTATTATTATTATTATTATTAATTATCGGGCAAAATCATGATTATTATCGGTTTAATTAAGCTGTTTATCTTATAATAGAAATTAAAAAAAGCAAAATCATGACAAGAATAAACGAAAAAGTAAAAAAAAAAAAAAAAAAAAAATTATGAGTAATTACCATATAAGGAAACGTGGGTCAATCACATTTTTGTTTTGTATGTATGTATATAATTTTTTTATGATATGGTAATTGAATTTTCGTAATAAAATAAAAAAAGACTAATACATGTCATTGGAAATGATAAAAAGTTTCCAATAGGTGCGAGTAACGTTTTCTTTTTAAGTACACCATTAGACGTTGACATGTCTTTGTTCTCATCTTCTTCTTTTTTTAATTAACCAAAAATCCAAATATTTCATAATTAATTAATTACTATTCAAATTTCGCGTTAGTTATCTCAAATAAAATTTAACGGATTAGTTCGTTTTTATCAATGCCGTGCTTAGGACATTAATTTGTATTTGACGAGGTTATTTGGAGATTGTTTCTAATAATCTTATGCGACAAATAAAATGTAGTATATTATCATCTAGTAACTAAGTTCAAAAAGTTAGAAAATTTTGATTACTTTATATATATTTATAAAAAAAATTATATTATTAAACTTAGTAATATATTATCTTATTTAATAAAAATATAATATATGTATATATAAGATATAGATAACCCATATTGGACAAAATTTCAACGGCCGGATTTTCGTAGGATGATTGATTGGTTTCTAGATTTTTATAGAAGAATCGGATTGGAGAAAATCGGATTTTGAAGTCTACACAAAACATGATAAGTACATCACATATGTTCTAGACCTTCTAAAAAAGTCTTAATTCACAAAAAAACATGTTAACTAATTATAAAATTACTTTTTGCGGCTGCCTCTTTTTTTTTTTTTTTTCTACTCTTTCACATTAACATCTTCAACCATAAACAAATATATTTTCCGCTCTCGGGTTCTTAATTAACCCAATTACCCGACCCGAATTATTCCCTTTCATTTTATATTATATTTATTCAAAAATTTGTCAATGGGGGAGGGGGGTCCTATAAATTTTATTATATGGTCCTCGCACGTACCAAATTAAAATCTTAATTACGATGTTGCTTGGTTGCATCCAATTTTTTTATTTTTTTTACCTTAACAAAAAATAAAATGAAGTAAACTTATGGTTGTAAATAAATATATGAAATATATATATATATATATGTAAGGTGCGTGAGTGAATTATTGCATGGGGGAGGGTTTGGTTAGTGTGGAGAGAGTTGTCACTTTCTACTGACGTGGCATTTGGGAGTGGTTTGATTGGATGACCCACTTCTGTTCCCAATTTTGTGAATACAAACCAGAACTCCCATGTGCAATCATTAATATCATCACCTTAGCCTTGTACCAAAGTCTTACAATACACACACACATATATATATATATATATGGAGAGTTTACAATTGGGATTTGATACAAGTTCTATGATTAAGGAGTGTGTACGTATTATGTATATATATATTAGTTTGAATGTCAAATTAAGAAGAAGCCATGTTTTGTTTACATGGATTCGTATATTATATTGGTAAGTACCGCTGACATACAATTATAAATGCAAATTAATTAAGTTAAATCTGTGAGTTAATTACGATTTTCACCAAAAAGAATCAAATTAATTTATATGTGGCTACGAATCTGTGATATGTCTGTCGGGTGGGGTTGCTTTTTCGTAAAGAGTGGGTCCACTACTTCACCTGAGATGGTGGATCGTAGCATAAATTTATAAGATAATTTAAATTAATTTCTGGGTAATTTTAGTAATAATTTAAATGTTATTAAATTTAAAATTAAATTAATTTTGCTTCACCTAATTACCAATTTTTTTTTTAATTTAAAAAAAAAAAAAGAAAATTCTAGAGATTTTTATATTAAAAAAATTGACAATGACGGAAAATATACAAATAGGCCAACAGAAAACAGACACGTAGCCCGTGAAATGTGAAAAAAACGAAAGGACGTTTTTTGTCAAATAAAATAAATAATAAATAATAATAAAAGCACGACAAAACGGTGAAAGGAAAAAGATAAAACGACATCCAATTTCCGAAAGTCATCCATCATCCCATCACATCCACTAACAAAATAATTCGTTATTTCGCGCATATATTTGTAAGGAGATTAGATTGCCACCCTCCTCACTATACTCAAGTCTTTTTTTTATTTTTTATTTATCGTGAATTAAAGTCCCTTTCATGGCCGGCTTGTTATTTTGTCCATTTTAATTATTTTATTATACCTAATAAATTATAAATTAATACATGTATAATGTAATATTAATAGGGTTTACATCGAGTAATAGTCATTGTTTAGTAATTTTAGTTGAATTTTTTTATTTTATTTATTATAATATAATATATAAAAAATAAATTAAAAGAATATGAAACTTAAATTATTTATTTTGAAGACCTTTAAAACATAATAATAACAAGAAGAAGAGACAAGGCATGTAAGGATTTTTGTCTCCAACTTTTTGCAATGTTGCACTTGGTATGTTTTTGTGTGGTTTGGTATCTCCATTTTTTTTTAGCCACTTGCTTCTTATTTAGTACCCTTACATACTCTAAAAAATATATACGTATGTATGCGTGTATGTATGTACGTACGTATTCGGGCAAGTAGTAAGAAGTGCTAAATGAGAGTAGGAGGAGGAACATTACAGAAATAATGTAGATATTGTATGGGCATTTGGTGACATGTAAATATCAGCTTTATAATTTTTATAAAAGTTTGGGATGGTGGTGGGATCCTCCATCGATTCAATTATGTTGGTTTCCTAAACTTTGTTTTGTTGCTTTCTTCTTGTATCTTATCTTGGAATATTTTCTATATGATTGGACCTCCTTATTTCCTTTTTTGTAATTATTTTGAAATAAGATAAAGATTCAAACTAAGGGGCCTAGTCCCGAGTGAATTACCACTTCATTATTGGGCCTATTTGATTTGTTTAATTTAATTTATTCAATTGAAATTTCTTTTGTG